ACGCCCGTCTTGCTGGGTTGCCCGATCCCCCGGCGGTGGGAGAAGGCGCTCCAGCGACCCAGCCCTCCCATCTCTCGCGGGGGGGGCGGCGCCAGCTCGTCCCGGCGCAGCGGCAGCGGGTCGCGCGGGCGGAGGTGCAACGCGGACTGGGGCATCGCGGCGATCCCCGCGTGGAGCGGCAGGCGCTCGATCACCGTCTGGTTGGCGACCGCGACCTCTCGGGCGCCACCTTGTAGGAGCCGATCTGGGCCCGCCAGGCCCCGTGCAGCTCCGCCTCCGACTTTGACGCGTCCAGCCGATCGAAGGCGGGCGCCGCCCTCGTCTTGCTGAAGTCGCTCGCCGAGTGCCCCTCGAAGAAGAAGTGCGTGGAGTGCTGGGCCAGCGCGGTGCCTCGCTCCATCGGCGAGCCCAACGGCAGCCCCTCGGTCTCGGCCCTCGCCCACCAGCGCGTCGTAGAGCGTCTCCACGGGCCGTGGCGGAGCGCGCCCCAAGGGCGGAGCGGCCGCCCGCGTCCTGGTGCTGCTTGGCATCGGCCTGGCGGGGCCTCCTCTGGGCCGCCCGCCTGGCCCCGGCCTCGGCCGTCTTCGACGGCCCTGACTTGGCCGTCGGCTCGGCCCGCTCCAGCTGGCCGCGGCTCGCGGCTGGCATCGCCCTCGGCGTCGTCGCGGGCCGACACAGCGTCGCCCGAGGAACGTGGAGACAGCGAATCGGAGGTGCTCAAGGGCAGGCGAGCATATCCTGAGCCCAGATGTGGTACGGCTCCGAGATAACTGACGATGAAGTGCAGATGGGGGTGATGGTGGTGCGTATATGCGTAATGGTTCATCGGCTGGGTTTCGCTCGCTCATGATCCATCAGACACTCGGCGCGACGTCGGCCCCAAGACACAGGGCGCCCCATCGTCGGCAATCAGATTCATCGGCGAGGATGACGAACTCCCTCTTGTCAGCATCAAGGACAGACTCATAGCGCCGACAAGGGGGAGGAGCTTTTTCCTCGAGGACCTCTGGCGGCGCAACTGATGCATGAGCGCCCGCAGCGCGGCCCTAGCCTCGGGAAAGAGGCGCGTGCTCGGACTTCCACCGGCGGCCAGCAGACGCGACGCTTCACTCTCCTTTCATGAGCTCGGGACTGATTTCCTAGGAATCCGAGGATGGGGTACTGGTGTCTGGCCGCTGGTTGCCCTTCTCTCGCGAGCACAGCAAGCCGCGCTGCAGCTCGCAGTGCAAACGGGCGCGGGCGCCGAGCTCCTCGCCCTCAGAGAAGCGCCAGCGCTCGCGCGCCCGCCCGGCCGCCGCGATGAATGGAGCCCCCTGTTCTCCTTCAGCCGCGCCGCCGCCCCAAAATGACGCGTCGCTGGCGCTGACCGCGCCCGACCGCGCCGCCCCGAGGTGACGGCGCAACAGCGGAAATCGAGAGGGCGCCCGTCGCAACTCCCTCCTGACAGCAGACCGGAGCGCCACCTCTTGGCCCCTGTGCTGAAAGCACGCGAAGCCCCGAACGTGGCGAAGAACTCTCGCCTCAAGATGCCGACGAAGGCGAGGTGGCCAATGGTGATCTCAATGGCGCGGCCCGACGCTCGAGGGCGTCGCGGCAGCTCCCGAATGCCAAGATGAAGCCTCCAGAGACGCAGCTGGCTGGGCCCGGCCAGGCCGTCGTCGGCGGCGAACTCCCGCCGGGGCGACTGGCCCTCGGCGCCGCGCGTAGCAAGCCCCTTCTCGCGGAACAGCTCGCTCGCGCGCTGGGCCGCGGAGGCCGCGGGCTCCTCCGGGGTGGAATGGGCCGCGCAGTTGTCCGCGTACTCAGTGCGCGCCAGCGGCCGCGCGGGGGGCGCCCCCGCTCCATTCCTCATCATATTGGCGACGGAGATCCCCTCGAGCTCGGTCACCGTGGCCTCGTGAACCATCTGGCGCGCCATGGGGGCCTGGTTCCAGCCCGTGGGCGCCGCCCCCAGACAGGGGGGGGGCAGCGCCGTCCCTATCCCGTCGATGGCCTCAGAGACCCCTGCATCCTGAGCGCGAGGCCGAGGAAAAGCTATGTGCCCTCGGAACTCCCTCCAGCGTATAGAAGCAGTTCATGATGCCAACGCCTCCAAGCCAGAGCGCGGCGCCCCAGCGTCCACCCCCAGCGTCGCGAAGCTCTTGTTCGTCGCCAACTTCGCGTCCAGGGGGGTCGGCGAAGTGCGCTTTTGCCCACCTCGCATTAATGGTCATCCTCAGCATGTTATCTTTCTTGTGGACCGCGACAACGCGCGCGTCCTCAGCGCGGTGCTTCCTGTGTTCGATGAGGCCGCGCGCCCCGTGCCGCTTCGCCAACTCGAAGGTGCTGGCGGCGATTGCGAAGACGCGGATCTGTGCAAACCTTCTCCGCTCCCGAATCCGACTTGCGCTGCTCCGCCTTCTCTTTTGGCAGGGGCTTCTCCTTGCATGGGGGCCTTTGAGACTTCCGCGCCGGCAGGCTCATCCAGATCCGCAAGAGGGACAGCGCGATGCCCTCGTTCTGGACGCGCCAATCGGTCGACATCAAGGCTGGCCAGGGCGGCGCATTCGCCGTCGTAGCCCTGGCGGGCCAGAAGGGCTCGCATGGCTTCTTGGCCTGTCCGCCCGGGAGGGGGGCGATCCACCTCTCGGGCGCGCGATGGGAGACGGTCGAGAACCAACTGCTGCCCCCCGGACACGGGCGCTCCCAGCCCGCCGCAGCTCCGCGGCCCAGCGCTCATCTCAGTGAGCGATCTCACTGTGTGACTCGCCCACTCCAACTCGCGCCGGCGGACGCGGGGTCGCTGGCGCGAGCGTCGGGGCACGGGCGGTCGGCAGCTCGACGGGAACTCGGCAATCTCCTGGAACACATCGGGCAAGGGTAACAACTCGCGATGCCTGCCGTCCCCGGGGGTCGGGCCAAAACTGCGAGGCCCCCCAGCGCCAGAGGCCGCGGAGGTCCCTGGGCAGGGAAGGCGGGCATGCCTCTGCCTGGGCGCCCCGCCAAGCAGAGCGCCTGGTCGGGCAGCCTTCTCGTAGGGCTACTTGGCGGCCGCGGCCCGCTCCTCGCGGGCCTTGCGGACCTGTTTCGCCTCTTTCGACACGAGTCGAGGATATCGTGGGCCACCATGATGTCCCCGAGCTCCCTGTGGCACCCCGTGAAGATCTGGGACTCGTCGCAGAGCCCCACGCGCATCAGGCCCCCACGGTCCTTGCCCTTCGTGCTCTTCTTGCCCTTGCTGTCGTCAGTGGTGTCGCCGTCGAACTTGCCTCCGCCGCCCATCTCCGAGTGGCTGTATTCGATGAGTTGCGCCTTCCTCAGCATCAACTCGAAGGCTCCCAAGTTGATAATGTCCATCCCATCGTATGTGAGGGCCAAATCACTGGCCTGTATGATCATGTACTGGGCACCCACACCCCAGTAGTCTCGCTTACGGTGCGAGGACCAGGCGCAGGGAAATTCACGAAGCTGACCTCTGAGATTCCCTCCACGGCGGTCCGAAAGAGGGTCTTCACACAAGGGCCTCCACTGGTCGTGATGCCCATCCGTCGCGCATCTCCCGAGGCCTCGGCACCTGCAAACTCGATCTCCTTGCCTGGTGGGACGAAGGCAGCCAGAGCCACTCGGCTGGGGCACCATGTGGTTGCACCGCGCGGGAGCCCTGCACCGCGGCCTGCGGCGAGAGGGCGACGACGTCTCTGCCAGCGCCTCGGAGCCCCACAAACGACCATGCTCTGCCAGCGCCTGCGAGCTCACTGCCGCACAGCTTGGCTCGGGGAGGGGAGGGGCGCCAAGGCATGCCGGCACTGGCGGGCACTCCGGGCAGGCGGGGCAATGGGCACGGCTGGGCAGCGGCCAGCCGAAACTATGGCAGCAGAGCCGACGGATCTGAGGATCTCGTAGGCTAGGTTGAGGCCCGAATGCATGCCCCAACAGGGGCCCTCGCTTTGAACCCCAGAGATGACTACAGCAGCGTGCTGACGCTTAGCGGCGATCGGGCCCCTTTAGATGATTCACGTACAACCCCTTACATATCTATCCGCCTGTTCCTCTCCTCCTGCTCCTCATCCTGTTCTCCTCCTCTTCCTCCTCCTCCTCTTCTTCCGCATCTTCCTCCGCCTCCCCCTCCCGCCCCCCCCCCTCCCGCCCCCCCCCCCTTCCCCTAGCCCCTCCCCCTCCCCCTTCTCGTCCTCCTCCTCATCCTCCTCTTCCTCCTCCTCCTCCTCTTCCTTCTCCTCCTCCTCCTCCTCCCAACTTCTCCTCCTCTTTCTTCTCCTCCTCCTCTTCCTCCTCCTTCCCCCTAACGGTGAGAGGCGAGGCGCGAGGTCAACCATCCAACCGTCGAACTCGTCAAACCTGTGTGGCAATGGAGAGGGAAGAGGATGTTGGACGAACGTAAAGGATGAGGAACAGGTCAGGCGGGACAGGGCCTGAAGATAACTCGGACGAGCATGGGGTTATGATTCAGGAGGAGGAGGAGAGGAGGGAGGGAGGGATGGAGGGAGGAGGAGCAGGATGAGGATGAGGAGGAAGAGAAGTAGGAGAAGGAGGAGGAGGAGGGGAGGAGGAGGATTGGGGGGATGGAGGGAGGAGAAGGATCATGGAGGAGGATGAAAAAATGCTGGCTCCCAAGAATCGCGCAGAACTCCTTTCACCTCCCCTCAAAAATCGGCCCCTGTCCAATGGCGCAACCTGGTCCGAATCCCAAGGGGAATCCCACAATGAAGACGAGACGCCTCCCAGACGCCCCGGAATGAACAGAAAGGTTCGAGAACCTGGATCCTCGATCCTCGAGTGCTCGCCATGATCCGCAGATCGTGTGTCAGCGCCAACGTGTGCCTTCACCGAAGCCCGACGCAGACGGTGCCACTAGGTCCGACACGGGCAGCGCGCTGTCAGTGGAGCTGAGCGGGGTAACCACACACGGTGGGCAAATACACGTCTTGAGGATCATCGATCCTCCCGCCTCCCTCGCCGCGATCCCCTCTCCCTCGAGGCGGAGGGAGGGACGGGAGCGGTACCAGGTGCAACCGCGTACGTCAGGCTGGCCCCCATCACGCCCCGCTGCATGGCGGCGGAGAACTCCTCGCGCGAGATCCTTCCGTCCCTGTTGGTGTCCATGGCCTCGCTCCTCCTCCTCCTCCTCCTCCTCCTCCTCCTCCTCCTCCTCTTCCTCTTCCAACCTCCTCCTCCGAACTCCTTTTGCTCGTCGAATTTGATGCTTCCGCTCCTCGATCCTCGATCCCCTCCTCCTCCGCCTGCTCCTTCTCCTCCTCCTCCCTTCCTTCCTTCCGCAAGCTCCGTCGGAACGCCCGGCACGGGCTACTAAGAATACCGCGGCCAAGCCTTCTCTTCCGACTCCTCGTCCCGCTATCCTTCCTCCTCGTCCTCCTCCTCCTCCTCCTCCTCGTCCTCCTCCTCCTCACACTCCCCTCCTCCATCCTTCCTTCCTTTCTTCCCTCTTCCCATTCTCCCATTCTCCCCCCCTCCTCCCCTTTTGCCCCGGGTCCCCTCCTCTCCCCCTTTTCCCCCTCCTCACCCTCTGTGGCCTCGAACAGGGCGGCGCCAGGGGAGGACGACATCGCTCGAGCCGGGCGCAACCCGCCAAGGCAGCTGATCTGAACAAATTGTCCTGGAGGACGAGCGGGGACAGGTGGAGGAACTGGGATGAGGAGGATTCGGGTGGCCCTCGAGGAGAAGGAATTCTGACCAGGATGTACTGTGGATGAAGGATGAATGGGCCTATGGAAGATGGTGAGGAAGGGTTCGCAGAAACAAAAGAAACGCAACGGGGGATGGGGAAAAAAGAAACAAGGAGGACGAGGATTGGGGGGACCACAATGACGATGATGATGATGATGATGATGATGATGATGGTGATAAACATGACCACGACGACCACGGTGGTGATGATGAGTACGAGACTAAACAATGGGATGTAACAGGTGGAAAATGGTTTCCCTAAAGGAAAACGGTCGAACGACTATAGCTTGACCAGGTCTTACTATGTAGAGCGTGTAAGGCGGGCGCGGCAAACGACCCTTGCAACCCGATGCAGCAACGATAAGGACAGCGTAACAAGCAGGCAAGGCATGAGGACCTACTGTTCGAATCTGGTGCTCAAAAGAGTCCGTCGTGCTTTTTTATACTCAAGCAGACAGCTGCAGAACAGGCTATACGAACCGCCCTTCTCATAAACAAATTGCCTGACCGCAAGGGGAAAGGTTCACCTGAGTTCGACAAGTACGTAGGTTGGCGGCCTTCATTCCACCCCAAGGGCATATTGGCCCTCCACGGCGCCAGCCGCAAAAACATTACGGCGCCAGTGGAATGGCTGGGGGCCCCCCCGCCAGGGCCCGTGGGACTAGCCGAAGCAGGCGAATCTATCCCCCCACCTGGCAAATTGCGAGACTATTAAGGAACACCTGCTAAAGCAACCGCGAACTACCCGAACTGTCCGAGCAAGCCCGCTCGCTTGAGTGCTCTACTCGTCAGTCTCGCAGGTGGATGCCCGCGTGCGTTGGAACTTGCATCCCACCCCCATGGGCCAATGCGGCTCTTGAAAATAAAGCTCGCATCCCACCCCCGGTGGGCCAATGCGGCTCTTGGAAGTATATCCGCATTTTGATTCCGTGTGGCCTCGTGACAAAGTCGCAAGAGCATCTCCGAATTCCTGCGCGAATGAGCCATTCTGCGAGCTCGGGGCGGCCTTCTTCAGCCTCTCGTCGCTGAACTTGACCGCGGCGTGGTCATGGCTGACCGGGCCGCCCGTCGCGTTGGGGATTAGCTCTCGGTCCATGCTGCACTTGGTCATGGGGTCGGCCCGCGTGTCCCGAGTGCCGCGCCAGTGCAAGTAGTCGATCTGTTGTGTGCGCAGCTAGTTGGCTAACCACCATTGGTGGCCAACCATGCTGTTCTCCGATGGCAGCCGGGCCAAGTCCATGGGCAGGGCGCTGAAGACGGACATGCCGTCTATGACGAGGTCAGCAGTGATCGCGCAACCCCCTTCTCCGCGGCAGAGGCGCGGCCGCGTGCCGTCTCGGGCAGCGCGCGGAGGTCGGGGGCGCGCCTGCAGACCGTCTGCTGCGCCGCGTGCTGAGAGCACCTCGGATCCGAATGAGGACCTGCGCGCGCACATGTGCGATCGGCTCACTGCGTCCGGCAGGTGGCAGCCTTTTTTGCCAGCGCGGCGGAACTTGCCGAGACGCGTGTATACGGCTCCTCTCATGCAGTGCCCTGGCTCTTCCCCCCTCTTGAATGGCCCGTCGATGCGCGCGCTGAATCGCCCGGCGCACTCCAGTGACCCCAGTGATGCAAATGAGAAGCGTGCCTTGGTCTTCTGCGTGGCCAAAACAACGGAATTGAGCTGCGTCGCGTGTCGGATGAACAGCTTGATCTCGGCTCCCTGCAGGGCGACGGTGCACGCTGCGACGCGGTGCTGGGCGAGCAGGGCGCAGGCAGCTGCCCCCAAGAAGGAGAAAGAGAGAAAGAGAGAAAAAGAGAGAGAGAGAGAGAGATAGAGAAATAATTCATATATATATAGAGAGAGAGAGAGAGAGAGAGAGAGAGAGAGAGAGAGAGAGAGAGAGAGAGAGAGAGAGAGAGAGAGAGAGAGAGAGAGAGAGAGAGAGAGAGAGAGAGAGAGAGAGAGAGAGAGAGAGAGAGAGAGAGAGAGAGAGAGAGAGAGAGAGAGAGAGAGAGAGAGAGAGAGAGAGAGAGAGAGAGAGAGAGAGAGAGAGAGAGAGAGAGAGAGAGAGAGAGAGAGAGAGAGAGAGAGAGAGAGAGAGAGAGAGAGAGAGAGAGACCGGACAAGTAGGCGGACCAGGGTCCGTCCGCGAGGCGCACTGCGGTGCGACAACCCGCAAAACACTATTGGCGGCGGTGCAGCCTTAGGATACGAGGGCGGGCAGAGACCCCCTCCCCCGGCGCATTGCGTCTGAAGCTACGGACGGCGGACAGACTGTGAAGATCTCACGTGTCAGACCGCGTGACGAAGAAGGCCCCAACAAGAAAGGCGACGTGCGGACACGTGGCTAGGCGGCTTGGCAGACCGCCAGTTGGGCGCTTGGCCGCAGCGCGGCGCGCAGGGACGGGGCACCCCCCGCCCCCGCGCCCTGACACCGTGGACGCGGGGCCACGCGTGCACACGGGCAGGCAGAATGGCGGAGATTAGCGCGGGGCTCCAGGCGGAGCGTCGCGGAGCGATGACAGCATAGCATGGAGGGTGAGTGGCGGCGCAGCACCATCGGGCGGGGGTGTAAGCAGCTCGGCGAAGGCACGACCGGCGCGGTGGAGGCGCTGGAGCAAAGGGCCTTGACGGGCTTGGGCAGCGGCAAGGTCGGCGGCGAGAGCTGCGCACCTCTGCTGGAGAGCGGCCATAGACTGGGACAGCTCGGCTTCGCGGTCGGTGCGGGGCGGCTGCTCTGTGCCCGCGGCCGCGGGCCTCGCGGCGGGGACGAGGTCATCGGTGCGCCTGGCCAGGTGGTGGACCAGCGCAGTGCGGCGGTCCGTGCGCTGGCGGCCGTCGCCGTGGCGAGGCGACTGGAGGGTGTCGCGCGGTCCCAGGGCTGGAGCCGCTGGGGCCACGCCCCATGAGGACGGAGGAGCCGCAGCCTCGCAGCCTGCAACAGTAGGAGCGTGGACGGGGCGCGACGGTTTGACTGGCTCAGTGCCCTGCGGGGGGGCCGAAGCCGCCCCCGCGGGCTGGTGCTGGTGGGGGGGCGGGGTTGGTGGCACGGAGGGGCCAATCATGATGCCGTGCGAGGGCTCAGAGGTCGGCCGCGTGCCCGGGTGGCGACTCGATGAAGCGGCATCGTCGGCAGCGTGGGGTGTCGGCGGGACGTCGTCTATGCTGTCACCCAATCCGAGGGGGTCATGAAAGTCCTCGTCGGCGTCTTGGAGGTGAGCGACGTCATCGTGTGGGTGCGGTGCCGCTCTCGGTGGCGGAGTCGAGGTGGGCGTCGTGCGGATGCCCGACGGGGCAGGGTTGGCGCTGGCTGGCCCGTCGTCCAGGAAGTCTAGTCCCCCGCCGAAGCCGAACGGGTCGTCCTCCTGTTCGTCGTACATCGCCCGTTGTGCCTCGGCCCAGAGCTCGTCAGGGTTCTGCGGGATGTCTGGTCCAGCCGCAGGTGGTGCCTGGTCCGACAGCAGGGGGTTTGGTTCCATTTTGCTGAGTTCAGCCGCTGTAAACCCAGCCCTGCGGTGTGGGAGCGGCAGAGTACGGTGTCTGCGCTCGTAGATGGCGACAGCGACCCCGTGGAGCACGGTCGCTTGGCGATGTCGTGTTTTGGCAGCTTCAACGATGTCGTCGGAGAGGTTGTGCGTGCGTGCCGCCGCTGTGGCAAGGGCGTCGGCCTGACGGTTGAACTCCTCCGCGATGGGCCCGATGAGCCCACGGTCGATGCCCAGGTCTCCCAGGTGGCTGGCGACTTTTTCGACGCGAAACATGTCGGGCTTGGCCATGACACATCTGTGAATCCTTGCCCAGAGCTCCGCGTGCGTGCCCTGCGGCGCTGGATGGTCGGCCTGCAGGTCGAGGAGGGCTGGGTCTTCGTCGAAGAGCCCGCAGTGTCTTGTGTGCGGCGGAAGACGGGCCCACTGGTCGTCACTGATGAGGGTGGTGAGAGGAACTCTTTCTCGGGCCCAGCACTCACAGTCGCGGACAGTGTGCTCCTGAGTTTCCTCTTCCTCGTCGCAGTAGCGGCACATGGGGCTAAAGTCTGCCGACGTGTTGGATCGGGATCGTCGCTGTTGGGTGTGGCCCCCGCCCGACAGGTAGTTTAGGAGGAGCGCCAGCTGCCAGGCAGTGCATTTGGCAGCTCCTTTGGTTCGGGCGAGCCACGTGCTGGCGAAGAGGTCAAGGCCCTGTCTGACCGAGGCGAGGTAGCCAAGGTCGTGTCGCCGTGGCTTGATCTTGCGCAGAAATGCCCTGCGTTGTGAGGCCCGCAGCATGTGCAGGAAGGCGTTTTGGGGTAGATTCAGCCAGCTGATCGGGCAGCCCCAGTCATCGTACATGATGCCGAATGTGGGCCAGGTCCATCGGAGCTGCTGGAGCGACTGGACGAGTCGCC